TATTATTTAACACCCCTACCCACCCCCACAAAAGCAGGATGGTAGTGATCTCACACAGCTCTGGACACATCTATGTGTAGCCCTTCATCCACATTTGAACAGAGTGGACAGTGATATTGCTGTAAATACAGACTGATAAAAAATCAAACCTGCTTTAAAACCCAACAACACAACTGTAGCTGTATAACTTTAGAAAGCAACACTGCTTTAACAAAAAATCAAAACAGCAAGACTTATTTGACATCAAAACAAAAAATTACAAAATGCTGTCTAATTGCTCTCGCAGTACTTTGATGTCACACACAGAACAGTCTGTGCAGTGCTGATTCAGTCAAACACCTTTTGTGTTTTATTAGGAGACGCACAACAGTTCTTCTGTGGCTTTATAGGTAATATTTTCACTTACACAATTTAGCAAAATCAGACAATATTGTGTCTAATATAAACCACAATATTAACTTCTTATTATTGAATTGTTGCAAATAAATATCACATTTGGAACTGGGCAGTGTTCAAAAAATGCTGGGAAATCACTTAATGTAGCCCCAAGAATGATTACTGATAAACTGTCTGAAAAAAATACAGTTTTTAGAGAAGAAAAAAATCACCCGCTGACTTTCAAAGCTGCTACAGAGTAACGACTTTCTACTTTGAGGACCTTGATAGAAATGTAGTGGAGTGAAAAGTACAATATTTGTCTTTCAAATGTAGTGAAGTTAAAGTCATAAGTTCCCAGAAAAAATAATACTCAAGTAAAGTACAGATACTCAAAAAGTGTACTTAAGTGCAATACTCAAGTAAATGTACTTAGTTACTGTCCGCCTCTGGTAATAAGCCATACAAGTACTTTATAACTTACCAGTCAGACACCACCAGCACAAACAGAACAAAACAAGCGTGTGAAACATTTTCATCAGCGTTTTCTTCAGGTTTAGGGTAAACTCTGATCAAATAAGACCATCTGCTGAAAACATTTAAACTGTTATTCTGATTTGTGTATCGCCCACAGAAGAGTTTGACCCACCTATTTACATCCCTTTCGCTCTCTGTCTCTCTCTCTCTCTCTCTCTCACACACACACACACACACACACACACACACACACACACACACACACACACACGCTCACTCACTCACATACACATACAAACTTTCTACCGCTAGTCTGCTGTTCTTCCTGTATAACTTGATTGACAGGTGTCTCATCCAGTCAGCGGTGAGTAATCTATTCTCAAACTATACCTACCTTTTCCGGTTTGTCTGATTTGTTATTTTGTTTTCGGATTTGTCGTTGTGTTTTCTTACTTGTTATTTTGTTTTCGGAATTGTTGTTGTGTTTTCTGAATTGTTATTGTGTTTTCTGAATTGTTATTGTGTTTTCTGAATTGTTATTTTTTTTTTTTTTTTTTTCATTTTCAT